TATCTGAGATACAGATAAAGATGTCATATATTTTAATTATTTAGATAAAGATAAAATAAAACAATTATCACATCTAGATGAACATCTAGATAATTTTATCTAGATAACGGAAAACACTGGTTGTGCCGGAAAGTTAAATGATTCACTGTATGCTTATATATATAGTTATAAACGTTAGCTCTTAAATAACAAATATTTTTATTTTTTAAGAAGAAAATAGGTATTAAGAGCAGTGATATTATCAACACGATACAGTTGTGGAGCGATTGCTACAGTTAGTTGGTGCGGCGCTTATTGGCGCTATTTATCGCTAACAAAATCGCCTTACTTGCCCTTAGAGTTCTGCATTTATCCCGCGAATTTTTGATGCACTTTGTACAAGAAACAATTAAAAATATTATTTTTATTAATTGTTGAATCAATTGAAACTAAAAAGAAGTCGATCGGTTCAATAATTGCAGAGATATGACAAATCTTAATTGAATGAACTTTACTCACATAATTTAGTCACATCCATCCTCGCTACACGTGATCTTCGCGAGAAACTTAGTACGACTGTGTCTGTCTTGATATATATTTTAATTTCTCGTCGTACTATAAATGCTCTTACATGAATATAAGCAATTAATTAAGAAATTAATTTTCAGAATATGATTAAAATCATGTTACTAAGTCATTTTATCGAGTAAATATACTATTGATAATCTAAATTATCAGTCATTACAAGATGATCAGTATCTAAAGTACTTTCGCTATTACCATCTTCTATATTATGAGTTATATTTGATATGCGTTTTTCTTCCAAGTTTGCTTCTGATATCCATTCATTTATCTCGTTCATATACATTTTTGTTTGTAACACCTCTCGTGTTCGCGGCCGTGAACCAATAAACAGTGTACTTCCTCCGATAACTAAGAAATTACGTAGATTTTCGAGAGTTTGAGAATCCTCTATAATGTATTGTAATTCATCCCATTTTAATTCTACTTTCTCGTGAAGCATTTTTTGTTCTGAGAAAATAAAAAATATAAATATAAGAGCAATTATTATAAAAATAGTTAGTATAAAAATTATAAATATAAATAAAGAATAGTTTTTCTGATAATAAAAAATTAAATCTAGAGAAGACCAATAAAAACAAAATGCGGTAAATATAAAAGGAAAGCAGCTTCTGATGACCTTAAGCTTGACATATAATATTAAGAGGATGCTGGACCACCGGCGAAAGTCTGATCAGCTGCTACTTAAGGTTTTCGCACAAACTTTCGTAGCGCGTTACGTTAAATACTGGCCATAAATTTAGATTTGTACGTAACTTTAAACTTTATTCAACGCACAAACAAACTTAACGTACCACGTTTATGCTACATTAAGTGAATTTTGTTTGTGCGTTAAATAACGTTCAAGTTTATAGTCAGTACTTAACGTAACATAACGAAAGAGTTTGTGCGGAGGCCCTTAGCCGCTATGCTGTCGGATAAGTGGCGTCATCTCTCGGGACCGAGTCAAACCAAACTACAGATAGATGATATGAGAGAAACAAGGATAGACGTATGTGTCTCTCCAACGCTTCTTTAAAATTGTACTAATCTTAGTTCAAATTTTTCTTGTCTCAAAGAGCTTCAAAATCTTTTTTGAAGCACTCAAAATATTTGTCTATGTTTCTAGTTTCCGATAAAATTATTTTTATTTGGATTCGTACGGCCAATTTTGCATATAAAGCAAAAATGTAGTTTATGTAATAAGAGTCTATAAACTTTTTCGTTTTTCTTGAATTCTTATGCCTTATCCAATTCTTATCTATATCCTCTTTTTTCTGGAGAAGCGTTTTTCATTTCAATTAATAGTTTTTACGAAAATTTGGAATTACGAAATGAGAATAAAACAGAACGGTTCAGCATCTTCTTAAGGTCGTGGCTCTGAGTGAAAGGCTATGAAGATTTTAGTCGGCGGTCGTTGTTTGTTAAAAAGTTATTAACAAAAAAAGTTTCACCAATACGACATTGTTTTTTGATAGCGTGTATATTTTAAAAGTAAATGTATGTATATGTTCAAAAATGTGTTATACACAAATATTATACAACGAAGTTGACTCTCTTGTTTCGGTTTGTTTGATCATAGTTTGGTTTGGTGCCCTTTTGGCTCTTGAACAGTTAAGTCTACACGCCATTATTCTATGACTATATATTTTCAGAACGTAGAAGAGGTTGTACAGTATTACTACCACCACGCGATATACGACTGTTTTTTACAGCAGTGATGGGAATTCGAGCTCGCGCACGCTATCGTTTTTCCTTCTCTACTTACGCACACATAGACGCTTGGTTTATTCGTCGGCGCCGCCGAGTTACACGTATAGACCGAGCGTCTATGTGTGCGTAAGAAGAAAGGGAAAAACAGTAGCGTGCGCGAGATCAAATTCCCATCATTGTTTCACAGTGAATCTGTGTCGATCTCATGCTCAAGCTGGTATGAGTTGTGACTGCCTTATAGGAGAAGATTCATTCGAGATTATATTCCAATTAAGTTCTGGAGGCCCAGTTCCGTTCGCCAGTTAATCACTCAACTTGATTGAAAGGAACTGGCCCGGAAAACATCTTAAGATAGTAAGCGGATTCAAACTTCATGTTCGTAGCTCTTGCATTCTAATCGCGATAGCATTCGGCCAATCTTGTTTGTTCGATCATATACCTTTTCTCTCAAATAGTGTTTCATAGTTAAGAAAGTGTATGCGAAGAAGCAGTGTGTCCCGCTCCTCCTACGGAGCGGCTCCACTATCAAAAAACTAGACACACAGGTTCGGGTTAAACTTTGCTTTGCGTGGAAAGTTGTAAATCCATGGACTTCACCTCGGTTTAGGTCGTCGCTTATTGTAGCAAGATCTCACATAGGTTTATACTTTTCTACGCAAAGTGAGGTTTAACTCAAATTTATGTGTCTAGTTTTTCGATAATGTAGCTTCCTCGTAGGGGAGCTTGCCTCCCATGTACACACTTTTCACGCAAAACGAAATTCTATATAAGTTTTACATAGATTTCCAGTTTTCTAACTTTTCACGTCCTATAACTTTTTTCTTGCTAAATAAGTAAATTATGACAAATAATTACATTTCACTTTTTAAACTTTTTCCGATAATAACTTCTAATGAACGCCAGCTAAACCCTTCACAATATTACTCAGGGCCATGACTTTGATATCATATGTCAAGCTCAAGGTCATCAGAAGCTGCTTCCCTTTTATGCATATTTATTCAAAATGCTATCAGTTTTGCGTAAATATATTATTTACTTGAAAACTTAATATAATCACAAAATATGATTATAAACGTTCAATCTGACCGGCTCAGTGGTCTCGCGGCCTGAGTGCAGGGGCTGCGAACCCGGAGATCCCGAGTTCGAATCCGCTCACAACCTAAGGATTTTTTCCGGGTCGGTCCCTTTCCGGTTTATCGGTTGATCGGCGAACGTAATCGGGTCTCACAAAATTAGTCCGGGTGCAATCCCGAATTAATTCCCCTCCCACAAGGCGATCATAGTCACAACATCTTTGAGAGCACAAGCACGACACAGATAGGCATGCCCACTGTGAAAAGAAGGCCGTGCATTGCGTGGTAGTAGGATACTGCACAATCCCCCCATGAAAAAGTATAGAGATTCAACTGACTTTGATAATAGATGTGTCTTTATAGCCAGAGTAGCTGAAGGCACGTAAAATACCCAATTAAAAAAAAAAAAAGTTCAATCTCTCTCTCTCTCTCTTTCTCTCTCTCTCCCCAGATTCTCTTCAATGTCAAAACTTGATATATAAAATTTATTGTAAAATACTGAAATATAATTTTAAAAAATTGTCCAAACATTAAATTAAGGGTAAATATGTATAAAAACGGAGCACCCTCGGAAGTCATTGTCCTTGATATATGTTGTCAAGGACACCTTTCTGAACAACAATCTGCAACTTTTAGTCGTCGCTCGTTGTTCGTTAAAAAATTATAAACAAAAGAAATATCATAAATGAACTCTTATTTTCCGACACCGTGTACATTTTGTTTGTGTTGTAAGCGTGAAGGTAGAGGGGGCTGCGCCCTCCGCAGGGGGAGAGGCTTCGCCCCTCCCTTCTGCTCCCCCTTCACGAAAAAATGAAGGTATATAACAACATCAATATGCACGGTTACACTCACCATACAGTAAATCACAAAGAAAATTTCGTAGATCCTCATACTAATTGTCACACGCAAAACATCGGAAGAATTTGGCGAGATATGTGAAGTAATATTCCACGTTTTGGGACCTCGGTAGAACATTAATTGAATTCTTCATTTTTTCGTGAGGGAGGAGCAAAGGGGAGGGACAAAGCCCCTCTCCCTGCGGGGGAGCGCAGCCTCCCTGCCTACACGCTTGCAACACAAACAAAATGTACAGAGTGTCAAAAATTAACAGTTCCTTGACAAAACTTCTTTTGTTTATAATTTTTTAACGAACAACGAGTGACGGCTAAAACCTTCAGATTGTTGTTCAGGAAGGTGTCCTTGACAACATATGTCAAGGACAATGACCTTTGAGGGTGCTTCGTTTTTATATTTACTAAATTAAGAATTCTTGCATTGAGAATTTCGAAATAACGTGGCAAAGATGTGCAAATAAAAAATAATAAGACAAACTATTAATCTTTAGACTGCCGGCATGACGCCGTATGGCATCGCTATTGGAACGCTAATAGTATACCGTATTTTAGAAAAGAGTTCTCTTTCGTCTGACTTGATTTGTGAGAAAAACTATTTAGAAAATCTAAATATGTTGTTAAATGATGTAATTTAGCTTTCGAATTTGCCGTAATCTAAGATACAAAATTTATGTATACATGATTAGCTTAATAATAATGCTACTATATTGAAAGACTTTTGCAATTCGACTTCAAAGACATACCCAACAATATAAAAAAACCCTTAGAAACGTCATTTTTACAAATTTGAAAATTTTATACTTTTTATTTCCATTCCTCGTCGGCCTGGCGCGGATCGGAGCCAGATAAAACTTAGAGCATTCCACGCAATATAATAATCTCAATTTATATACAAATATGGCGGAAAAACTACCATGTTTTTAATCAAAAATGCCGACGGTCAAAGGTTGAACAACTTTTTTAAAAGTTAAAAAATAAAAATAAAAATTTAAATCTCTCTTAATTCAGAATTAAAACCATAATGTGTCAGCTAAAATACCATAATAATATTAGTCAAAAAAGTCAAAGCAACATTTACGATATTTGTAAAACAAAAAAGGATATTTGTAAAACAAAAAAGGATATTTGTAAAACAAGAAAACTAGAATATTTGTAAAACAAAAAAACGCGTTTAACGTTTCGTTGTCACATTAGGTCAAAATAACCTAAATTTTGACTTTGAAGTAAATATATTTTTGAGACATCAATCAAAATGCTACTAGTGGTGCTTATATAGTATTGATTTCAAGTGTTTTCTACAAGTGAAAAAGATTTAAAATACATCGACTGCTACACTCTGGCGTTTTTCCTCAACTTACCAAGTGAAGAAAAACGTTAAGGTGTATTTAGCAGCCGTTGAAAGTTGTTGTAGGGTCAAATTGACCTAAGTATGATAAAGGCGTCGTTTTTGCTTCAAATTGAGTACAGTTGTTGTGTAAAAAAGTGCTCAGAAAAAAAGTAAAACAAAAAATCATCTTTATACACAATTTGGTAAATTTTAATTAAGTATTTAATAAGGACACATTAGTTTACAAAAACAATTATGCACGGTTAAATTGAGCAAGTGTGACAATTAAGAAAAAAGGGTATAACAACGGAGTTACAAAGATCAAAACGTTTGCGATTATATTAAGGTTTTAACGAGATATATGTACGTAAAATTAACAGCGTTTGACTCATAATAATTCTTTCTATGTTTTTAATGTTTAAAATACTTATACTTACCATCATGTTTTGAAGTCGACTTTTTATATTGTATTCTAAATCGAAAAGCCTCTAAGAAACTGGACACTACAATAGTTAATACAATCATAGTCACGAGATAAAATATCATGAAATATATTCTCGTGTACGTGCCTGCGACAAACGCGTACGCATTCATTTGTACAAACCAGTTATTAACAACTGTTAATTCAAAGAGCGTTATACAGCTTGCTATGAGATTGTCAAATGTATTAAGATAGTAATATCCCAAAGTTGTGCTGTCATTAAGAGAATATTCGTAGAAGTCTTCAACGGTGGTGTTCCTACCAAACAACAGAAAAAAAGAGATATTACACATACAAGTTGAATAAGATACAAAGTTTTTCAAAAGTCTGCGCTAAAATATCAACTAATGAAGCTACAATATCAGTTATAAATCAACTATAATAAAGAATATATAAGAAGCAAAGATAAGGCGTAAAAACTCTACCCATAAATTATAACGGTTTTAAGAGTAAAATTTCCAAGATTATATGAAAATCAAGTTAAAGATTTTAAATAAGAAGCTGTCTTTTGTACTGCGTTTTCTATATTATAATAGATGTCAATAGATGTCTTATAATAAAATTAAATATATTTGAATTAACAACTTTCTGTGAAGTTACATGTATATATTTTTAAAGTTTAGAAAAGTACTGGCTTTACTAAAGTATAATACTTTATTTAGATATATAATACAGTCAAACCTCTAACTCGAACCTCTATAGAACAAAAATTTTGTTCATTCCCTTGCGCTTCGCGGAAAGGAAAAACGAACTTTGATAAGTCGAAACCTCTACAACTCGACGATTTTAGCTCTTCCCTTGAGATGTGAGTTATCGAGGTTCGACTGTACTTAGGTATATAATACTTATGGTATACGATACTTTAGATATACAATACTTTATTTAGAGATAGTTCGGATTTACACTTGTTTCGTGTAAGGTTCTTATTTTAGCTGACATACGCATGCACAAAATAAAGATCTAAATTCGGACATCGCGACCTTAAAAAGATTAATGTTATGTTCTGAACGTCGGTTATAATCGAGCTTCAGTAGAGTAAAGCGACAAAAACTCTTGTCGCACTTCTAAGAGAGGCTTTTAAAATGGCGAGACCGGGTCTCCTGTCTTCAAAGATCAAGTAGGTCTTCATGGGCGAGGTAGCCTCACTTTGTTCGGAAGATCCGCAAAACGCATTCTTTGGCATAAGCTTTGCAATAGTATACAAAATAGTATACAAAGTGTGGTCGCTTCGGCCTTTGACAGGGAAGTGTGAGCGAAGACTCACACTCTTTCATTGCACGTAGCTTCATACAAGATGGTAGGAAGAGGTTATGGCTCTCCTTAACGTGGAGCGCCTTGGCGCTAAGCACTGTTTAAAAAGCCCCATGGGCTTTGTAGGGGCACAGGAAGGAGCCTCGAGACGTAATAGCCATAAGGCTGCCAGAAATTCTCGCCTGCCAGTCTCTGAGATAGGCACTCAAAAAGTTTTAGTGGGTGTGAGTCTCATACTCCTCTGCTTCCTCCCTAAGAAGTAGAAGGTGCATAAGACATTTTTCCCCTTGTAAAAAAGAATAGAGTGAAGTTAGTTAGGCCAAGGGACAAATTTGGACTTGCAAATATCTCAATAACCAAACTGCGTATGGACATGATGTTTGTGTAAGAAAATGGGAAGAGAGATTATTGTGCTGTATACGCCAGTCTACGTTTGGTCATTAATAGACGAATATGAATGATTTTTTGTTTTTGCGTGTCAAAAGTAAAATTATTATCAGTTCTTGCTAATTCCTTGAACACGACATGTCTAACTGTACAATACATACATTAAACTAAATTATATTGCGTTGAAGTGTTGATCTTTTAATGTTTTGTCGACTGAAGATGACTTAAATATAAGTTGAAACGTTTCGACACACAACTCGTTGATATTATTGCAATTAAAACCCTACATCTGGTTTCTATTGGCCGATTACTCTACACAATTTAATTATTATATTTTGTTATTTTTAGTTTGTGAATTACAGTGATTAATAAACACCAAGTAAATTTTTTTATCATAAGTTATTAGTATATTTTTTTATAATTTTACTGTTTTTGCTATGTTATTGTTGGAATTAAATTCAAATAGAGTAGATGGCGTTGTTTTGTCATACGTGTGAGTAGTTTTTTATTTTGCTGTGTTTGCAATGTCTTGAGATGAAAGCATTCAGAAGCAATGTGTTGGTGAAAGCCAGATTATTATTGATAAAAATGTAATCTATAATTATTTAATGAATCGTTGAGAAGTGTATTTAACCAAAGTTAAGTAAATGAAAGTAAAAGCACGTAAGGTAAATGAATATTCAGTTTAGTATGTAACCAAAAGTGACTGCAAAAAGTTGCCTCGCTTTGCAAACAATTAATACGTGTTTTTAATGTATGAGTTAATTTAATATTATTTGTTTAACAGTTGTTTAACAGCTTTTGGTATTTTGTACAATACCTCAGCATTTGAAAAATTTTATGAACGATTGATATTGAACACGCCAGTTTGTTTACACAGAACGTGTTCAAGATTTATGCAATTTAACTACAATAAACTTATTTTTCTACAATAATTAATACTGGACTAAACCCTTTTACTTATTCCACGCAATATAATAAAAAAGAATTTTCATCAGTTACTTACGGATTTTTTATTTAAAAATATTGCAGCCAATATGGGCTAGTAAAGCGTTTCAGTTATAAACTGACATGCTTAAATAAAATGTGTATTTTATACTCATCAAACTTTGAAGAAAAAATTATTATTGCCTTGAGTGAGAAAGGGATTCAAATGGCTGGTAAGGTCGCGGTGGAGTTCATCTTGCTGGAAGATGTGCACCTATAAAAAACCGTGTAATGCCGTGCTGCACAACATCAAGCAATCCAGCAATTCCGATCATCTAGCGTCTTTGTCGCGAACCCTGGGTGTGACCTCGGTCACAGCAGATAGATGAAGGGCAAAAGGCAAACCTCTGGCGCCTTAAAACGAGAGCAATCCAGCTAAGGGAGACATCCCTAACAGAAAAATATCGGTCTGCCAGGATAGCTGGTAGAATAAAAAGAAACAATGGATAAAACAAACGGAAAAATTACCCCAGGTGGCAGCCCAGTCTTTAGACAGGAAAATCCACTCTCTTCGGAGGTCGGCCCTAAGAATTCTGAGGGAGGGGGCCAACCATTGTTTGCCAAAGAGGATCCTAAAAATAGTAGATCCTGATAAAAACATTTTAACATCGTTATTGTTGTCATCTTTGCCTAAGTCAGTAGTAGAAAACAAAACGAAGCGAGTTTCTAGCCCTCTCGCTACTAAACAGCGTTTATTCTCATTCAGCAGTGCACGCCAGGATGTGTTGGATACAGGAAATTATCTTCTAAATAATAAAGTAGACGAAACATACCACACAGGCTCTTTGGAGGCACTGGAGAAATGGACGAACATACAGAACATGAAAAAACCACGCAATAGTCCCGACATGTCGCCGAAGGACCTTAAACAGTCTAAACTAAATAACTACTGGCTGAGTGCCCCGCTAAAAACGACCGACAGATTCGCAGCCTTTGAAAACGAAAACCACCCTGTAGAACAAAACGATCTCGAAAATAAATCTGCCAAACCTCCGCCTATATATGTGGACAAAGTGAGCAATATAAAACCGCTCACCCAGCTACTCAACAACGTTGTTGAAGATAAATACAAAATAAAAATCCTAAGAGACGAGGAGGTCAAAATACAGCCCAAAACCACTCAGGCTTATAGTACCATAATCAAGGAATTGCAAAAGAAAGGAACCGAATTCCACACGTACAAACTCAAGCATGAAAGAAGCTTCCGAGTGGTCTTAAAAAATATACATCCTTCGACTGACATTATCGACTTGAAGGAAGCGATCGAAAGCCAGGATCACCAAGTAACCAACATCTGGAATGTCAAAGACAGACTCTCCAAAAAACCGTTACCATTGTTCTTTATAGACCTGAAACCAAATCCTGGAAATAAACAAATTTATGACGTCACGTATCTATTAAACTGTCGTGTAACCTTCCAAGCACCAAGACCCAAAAGACACATTCCGCAGTGTGCAACCTGCCAGAGATACGGGCACACTCGCGCCTTTTGCTACAGAAAACCTAGGTGTGTAAAGTGTGCTGGAGACCACGCCACTGCTCAATGCTCGAGAAAGACGCGCTCTGATCACGTTAAATGTGTTCTCTGTAGCAGAAACAACCCGGCAAATTACAAAGGATACATCGTTTACAAAGAACTCCAGAAAGCTAAATTCCCCAACTTTAGACCGAGGAAAACCTCAATAACCGACTCAACAGCTGCTCCAAATCCAACCCTTTCCCACGCTAAATTAGCCAGTAAAACTACAAAAAATGAGGATCACAAACAAACTCTTCGTCTAAATCCTAACAGAGAGCAAAATTCAAACTCCTTCCAACCAAGCTACACTCCAACTAATACTATAAGCTTCAGAGAAATTCTCCAAGAAATTATGTCTCAACTAAAGATCATCACACGTATAATGACGGAACTCATGACCAAAATGACTCAAATTTCGCTTCATTAAAGCTAGCGTTATGGAATGCCAATGGCTTATCACACCACATTGAGGAACTAAAAATTTTTCTCAACCTTTATAACATAGACATAATGATTCTATCTGAGACTCACTTTCCACGAAGAAATTACCTTAAAATCCCTAACTATAAGGATTATCACACTACTCACCCTGATGATAAGGCCCACGGAGGTTCGGCCATCCTGATTGAAGATAAAATAAACCATCATCAAGCAACCTCTCTGAGATGAACAAATTCAAGCAACCAACGTGATGATCAAGGACTGGATTGGTCCCATCATGATATCAGCAGTGTACTGCCCACCAAAACACAAGATAAAAAAGGACTACTTCATCAAATTCTTTAAATCCCTGGGTAACAGGTTTATAGCAGGAGGCGACTACAATGCCAAACACACTTTTTGGGGAGTACGCTTAACACTCACCAAAGGACGAGAACTATTAAAGGCAGCCAAGACTCTGGGACTAAAGTTTGCCTCGTCTGGACATCCAACTTACTAGCCGTCTGATAGATCTAAAGTCCCGGATCTTATAGACTTCTGCGTCACAAAAGAAATCTCAGAAAATTACATGGTATGTGAGCACTGCCCGGAGTTGTCTTCGGATCATACTCCCGTCCTAATCACTATAGCTAGTGAAATTACAATGAATTCTGAAAGATGCACACTTCACAAC